AAGTAATATGTTAAACAAATTATTTCACCTTAATTATTTTTTATTATTTAAAAACATTATAGAATTATAAGTATTATTCTATATCTTAAAAAATCACTTATTTTAAATATGTATATAAAAACTACATATATATATGTGTATATATATATATATATATATATAAAATAAATTTGGCCCCCATTGTCTGAACTCTGGTTCCGCTCCTCTTAATTAGGGACTTCATATAAGTTTTTTTTTTTCTTTTTTGTATTTTCTGCACCAGCCTTCCTACTCTGCTTTCTTTCTTCCTAATCACAATATACTTCAAGATTACTGCATAATTAGATTAACGTATCAACAATAGAAAAATTAAAATATATTTTTTTCTTGTAACGATAATACCCTGTTCATTGCATGAATGTAGATTCTAGTTCATATGCCTGGTGGTTGGGGAAAATTAAACATGTTAAATTTAATTAAAAGATTAATTAATTTGTTTGAGTTAAGCAACGAAGAGATTAATTAATAGCTTTGAATTTAAAGAAACCATGTGCATTGAAAGCGATGCGGCGGCTCAAACAAGCGCAAATTAATATTGAAAATTGTAATCACTCCCCCTCATAATTGAGGAACAACTAGAGAATAGTGTTTTTGCCTTTTTTTTTTTTTTAAACCACGCCCGGGAGCAGAAATCGGTGTCATCAATATCAACCAATACCAATATATATATATATATATATATATATGCACACACACAAATATTGTAACTTCAATTGATTGATCAAAAAAAAATGTTGGCTCTCATTTGTTGATAAATTTTAGACTAATATTAATATAAATTTTTTTTAATTTAGTAATTAAACTTAATTTATTTTTTATTTTTTATATTTTTAGTCTACTTTTATGTGAACATTTAATAAAATTAAATTTATTTTCTTATTTTTATGTATTTTTAGTTTATTTTCATTGGAGCATTGATTCAAGATCAATCTCATTTTTAAAAAAAAAATTGACTCTCATTGATTAATAGATTTTAGGTTAATGCTGATATAAAAAGTTCTCTTGATTCATTAATGAGATTTAATTTATTTTTCTATTTTTCATGAATTTTCAATCTACTTTCACAGGAGAATTGATTCAAAAGTAGTCTCATTTTTAAATTTTTTTGATCGTTAGCATTAACTTCATCTGATTGTCCTTCTGCATTTGATATACTTTTTCATGCCTTTTTAATTTTCCTGATCAATAAAATTTAATTTATTTTTTTCATATATTTTTTAGTCTGCTTTTATGGGAGCATTAATTTAAGAGCAGACTCATTTTTAAATTTTCCTGATCATTAGCATTAACCCATTTGATTATCCTTCTACATTCGATATACTTTCCCATGCCTTTTTTATTTTTTTAATCAAATGAAATTTAATTTATTTTCTTATTTTTCATATATTTTCCTGATTCATTGTACTCAATATCAATTAACTATCATCCATAAATATTATTTATAAAAAGAAAAAAAAGGAAATAAGAAGAAGTTTAAGTTTGATTTGGATAATCAAACCTTATCTCGAGATCTTGACTCTTCAAACTATGAATATTTTACCATACATTATACGTTGACCAGATAACATGACGACTATTTAAGTACTCTAAACAGGTAAAACTTGAGTGATAGAGACATCTTTTTGATAGCCCTTTTGTTTTGCATATAAAAAAAAAAGAAAAATAGGAACCAAAAAAATATAAAAGAATAAAATACAATTAAGAAAAAGAGGGATCCTTTTGGATTCTTTCTTATGTTCATATTTATGGAAATAAAATTTATGTCATAATGCATAAACTATTATTTAATTTTTTTTATCTAATTGAAAACAATGGGTTACTGAGAATTTTAAAGAAGTTTTTTTTTGTCAATATTTTCTAAACACTCTAAGAATAGGTATTTTTTAGACAAGTTGTTCACTACAAACTCAAGAAATAAAGACAAAATGTGTACAAATCCTAAAAATTTAACCATCTCAGATGTATCGATATCAATATAATCAATGATATTTGTTTCAAATTTTTTAAATCTAACCTATGTAATACATAGAAAATTGTCTAGTTACTTTTATGTTCTGTTTGATTTTTTTTTTAATAAACTATTACTTCTTCTATCTCTACATGTAAGGTGTTTTTAACTATATTACACATATCAATAAAAGTTTATTATTTAGTTGAAAACTTATAAAATTATAATATTTTTTTCAATTTTACCCCTAATAAATGTCTAAATTAATATTATTATGGTGGGTAAAGTATCATTTAATATCTCTTTCCCTTTCCAAGGTAAGGGCAAAATTGTTCAATTATTCAAAAGTGTTATGACATTACTCTTAAAAAATATCTTATATATAGGAATGGTAGAAATATGTTTGAATTTGAATTGGCTCAAGTTAAAAAAAAAAAAGAATTGGATTAAATGACAAATTTTTTCTTATATTATAGGGAAAAGCACAACTAAAGACTCCTTGAGAAACTTATTCATAATTAAGGACCAACACTAGAATCCCTGACATCCAAACATATGTCATTGACAAATGGATTAATATTTTGTCAGATTACATGTCACTATTGATATAATCTATTTTATATCATATAGGTAATAAAAATTGTTGTAAATTATATTGATTTTTTCGTGTTTGAAAGAGCAAAGTGATGACTATTGACCAAGCCCCCAAATAAAATGTATTATGTAATCATATAATTATAGTAATTTGTGTTGAAAGAAAATGAAGTTCTTATTTTAACTGACTCCCAATTTCGAAGATTTTATTCCTTGCCACAAGTTTCTTCTCTTCATAATGTGAGAAGGTTGAGTTATCTATAGCAGAGAATATTATTTTCATGTGACATAAGAAAGGCCTTCTAATGATTTTAACACCTCTCATCAAAGGCGATGACTCTTAGTCCAATGAATCTAAATAAAAAAACCAAAAGAATCTTAGTAATTAACTTGATATGAACTTTTGAAAATTACAAGAGATTAGAATCTTAGTCCAATAGGCACTAAGGTGTTGTATATTATTGATTGCCTCTTTGAACTCAATTCGGTAAGTCGTTTTGCAAAGAGCTCAATGAATGTTGGTATGAGGTTTCTTTCATGTTACTAGCTAATCCAAGCAAGAAATCCTAGGTCCTTATGAAATCTGCCATTACAAAGACAGATCGTACCTAATATGTATAAATTTTGTTCAATCTTTCACGTAAATGTTTTTGAGGAAGGCCAAAAAAAAAAAAAACAAACAAACTTATTTTAACTCTCATTTTGTCTTTTGTACCTTATTGAAATGCATCGTCCCGTATTTCAAAAGATTTTATCTCACGAATGACTCATAAGTCTTGCCTTTATGTTAAATAAAGACAGATTGGGTGATCGATGAGTTCTATTTTTTTAAACCCCATTTTCCTTGTAATTCCTTTTTCAATCTGATTTCTCAAATATAGGTATTCTCCAATTTTTAATTTTACCTCTTTTAAATAATTATCAATAATGAAATTAATTCTCAATCTTCTGTCATCTAATAATCTATATATTTGGTGACTAAGTAATTGTTACTCATCATTGCATATGGGCATTTCATCCCACATAATACTGTTGAAAAGGACATCATTAATAATAATTTATTTGTGAGATTATATATATTTGGGGGGGGGATTATGGATGAGAATTAAATAGAAAAACTACCCATTTCTGAGGTTCCAAATTAAGAAGGAAATTTTATGAGGAAACAAATAAAGAAAGCAAATTGAAATATTTTTTAAAAGACCAGAGAAATTTTATAAGTTCAATTTTATGATTGAGCTTCTGGGTCATTAATTGTGAGCACTAGGTAATTTTCTCTCTCAAGAAACTTACTCCCATCGCTTTTATCATAATGAATTCAAATCCCTGACTATCTTTCTTTTTTGTTTTGAATCTCATTGACATTATTATTGTTGTTTTTGCTTTTTAGGGCCCAAATTTTGAGAATGGTAAAATGATACTATATGATTAACTTCATTTCTCTCTCTACAGGACTTGAACGCAGAAGATTGTTCTCTAAACAGAGATGGATTCAAGGGACTGAGGAGGGACCATGTTTGGGTACTTATTATTATGATGAGATTCGAATCATCTAAATTTTAATTTGAATAATTTAGATTTAACCCATTATTCTATATCATATTTTTTAAAATAAAAATTATAAAATAATTTTAATAAATTTTTAATTTTTAATATGATTTAGATTTAATTTGAAAGATCCAATTTAATATTAAAATTTGTATAATTATCATATATTGATTGTGCAGAGTACATCTAAATAGTCGATATATAATAATTATATAAATTTTAATATTAAATTGGATCCTCTAAATTAAATCTAAATCATATTAAAAATTAAAAATTTATTAAAATTATTTTATAATTTTTTATTTAAAAAATATAATATATATTAATGGATTAAATCTAAATCATCGTGATGCTAATCCCTTTAATGAGCACCCAAATCAAATTCGGTGAGTAGGAGGGGTGGGGTGCTTTTCCCCCACAATTATACTCTCCTTTAGTAAAATTTATAAGTATTGGTTGTAAAAAATTTTAAAGTAGATTTTGGCCCCACCACTTAATGTTTTATTTTCATTTTGTCCCTTCCATCCATTAGCTTCGAGATCCGTCCTGTCTCAAAATAGTTCTGTATATGTTCTCAATCCTGTTTGTACAATTTACTATATATTTCATGTTGTTCTCCCTGTCTTGTAGAATTGAAATATTCATGTTGGTTGATTTCAATTGACAAACTTCTCGTCCGTGCAACGAATAGGGATTAACTCTAGCAAATCAAATTATGTATCAAATCATTTTTTATGAAAAATTTGACATTTACAATCAACAAATTTAAATAATCAAAATTAAAATCAACATAATCATTGGCATTATTTAAATTATGAATATGCATGATGTAATTGAAGCTATTCTGTTTCTTTGCATATTTCAATGAATTCTCTAAGAAACTAAAAGGCGAAGCCTCAACAGTCGTCGCTCTGCAACTCAAGCTATATGGTTGTTCTCCCCTGGGGTGAGCTTCTACTTCCCCTTATTGCCTTCGACTCTTTCTTTTGTCTTGTGATTAGTGTGTTGATTATGCTTACTAGACCTCCTTTTTCGTTTCTTCTCTTCCTACAGCTCTTCTTCACGAGGCATCTCCCGACTTCACGAGAAGGTATTGTTTCATTGTCTTTCATTTACATTTGTCGCTATTACATTGTTTGGTCATGTTTTTTCCTCTTTCGACTGCTTAGTTTGTTGCAGGCGTGAATGGAGGTCGTGTTTGCCCTGTTCATGGTGGGGCTCGCAGTTCACCCCTCCTGGCATCATCAGAGCAGAGGTTCCCTTTAAGAGGCGATCCAATTTGTATTCCAATCTTAGCTCGAAATGAGTTCAGCTGGACTTGTGATTTGTTGAAAGGTCGGTGTAGTCATGTGTATGAGAGTAATTATGGGGGACTTAACCAAATAGAAAAGAATAGACTAAAAATTGCAACCATGTTCATTAGTATTGTAGGCATATCTACAACATGAATAACCAAAAAATTTTGACAACGCACAAGGGAATTTTTCAATACAAAACCTACAATTTTGAGTTCTTGAACGAGCTTGACAAGGAAGTTCTACAATTTCATGATAAATTTTCTGTTTGGATTACTTTACAAAGAGTTGCTCGGTCAAGGATTGAAGAGCAATCTTTATTTTGAGATTGTTATCACCTTATATTCTTTATACAGCCGTAATGAAAACTCTTCCATAAAGCTTTCAACCTTGAGATTCACGCTTTCCTTTATAAGACCCTATTTGTACACTTTGTTTATTTGCAGTCAAATTATTTGTATGTAGGTAGAAGGAAATATTATGCATATCAAGAAAGCACTTGCAAGCCATCCATCAGCAACAGAGTTTCGATGGAGGATAAATCACTTCAATTGCTCCTTGGAATGGTTCAAAGGGATCTTTGATGGCTTTCTCTTGAAACAAGGAAGGATTTATTCCATTGCACAGCATACAACTTCACAGACATGCTGTGCAGGTTAAGTGTGGTACATATATGTGCAGTGAAAACATCACATATATATGCTATCTTATAACAAGTTGTTTGAGTTAGAATTTTATATCTGATTTTGAGTATTCATACTGCTGCTGCTTAACTTGTTTTTTTAGATACTTCAACTTCTTTTGGTCAATGACAATGGAAGCACAAGAAGTTACATCTGCAAGCATAATTTGGTTTAAAAAGTTGTTTTAAAGTTTTAATATTTGGAAAGCTAAATGCTATTTTATGTATGATTACTTGTCAAATTCTATGGTTTAAGTAGAAATGAGAAATTTTGATAAATGATATGTTATGAATGTGTGTTGGATGTATTAAGCATGTTTGGCATAATCATTGTGAAAGGGTAGGAGTTCACCTTAGCGTGTTATTAAGACATTGTTTGGAAATTCATATGATACACTGGCATCGTGGAGGCCCGGTACTTAATATTATATTGTTTAGAAGTTTTAGTACTACAAGTAGTAGCTTAGGCATCGACACCAGTAGTAATTATAGACAAGAGGAACATGTGTGGTACATAATAGGTGAAGGTGCTCTTTGTCGAGCTGCCTCCTACTAATGGTGAGCTTGGACTAATCCAGTCGTATAGACTTGGTCCTATCGAATTGTCAGCCCACAGATTTAGTCAGAAGACATAAAGAGGGTATATGATGGTATGTTGATTATGCATATCATTCTATAACCATATGTGTAGATTTATGAGACATGTTATATAATTTACCATGCCACTTCATATACACACAAATTGTTCTCACACACAAGTAGTTAATTAGACTATTTGGTTATTGAGTTATTGACTCACCCTGTGGTTACATTTTATAGATGAAAGCTCTGATAGGAGTAAGGAAAAGAAAGGTGCAACCAAGCATTGAGGAGACTAGCTCTCAGTTGTATAGTCCTTTCATTTATTTTTGGTGTGTAACGAATATTGAATGCACATGCCAACTCATGACACACACACACATATATATATATATATATATATAATTTTGTGACGTACTTGCATGAATTCTGTTGTGAACAGTGGGTATCTCGATCTAGATTTGTTATATCTATATTGTAATGGTTGTGAGAGGTTGAGATACTAGTGCAAGTATTAGTTTTATATTAATTTATATGTTAGATTGGCCAGTGGATTGTTTATGAGATATTGTTATTCCTAGTATGTTGAAAATGGGGTTTTGGTGGCTAAATCTTGTTTGGATTGTTGTGGTTGTGATTTGAATGTTTGAACAGGTTGTTTGTGGTCTATTTGAGTTGGTTCGAGTGGTTCTGTGGTTATTGACATTTGGTTTGGGGGTTTGGGCACCTTGGTAGTGATTTTGAAAGAAAATGAGCCATTTTGGGTTCAGGTTTCCAAATCTCATTTGACTTAGTGTTTGGATATAGGACCAATGCTAATAGCTAGGTAGCTCTAAGAGCTACGTGTGAATACTTAAATCGCTCGAATTAGATGTTGGACGACAAAATGGCACACTCTAGAATTTGGTCTGAAAAACTATCATGATAGTAATTTGTTGTCATGATAGTGGTTGGGCGCCATAGTGCACTGTTTATTGCGTTGCAGCATGAGGCATAGAGAGGGGGGTTTCCCTCTATGAAATCCACTATAATGGATGATGCATTGCACTGTGGTGTGTTGTGCCTATATGGCTAAGTATTTTGTTGCTTCCGTTGGCTTATTTAATTGGTTTTAAACTATAGTTTGAGCTCAAATGATCTTTTAAAAAGGGTTTTTTTAGGATCATATTTTGCTTAAATGTTTTTAACCCTTAAGTTATGATAACTAATTATGGGATTAATGAAATCTCGATTATCATAATGTTGTTCTGTGTTTGGTAATGTCAAGGTGGATGTTACACTAGCTTTATCCAACATCCTTCCTTCATCTTTATTGTCCTAAGTGAACTAGTTTAACATTGTTTCTTTCATCTAAGTTGGTTTTGATTCTGTGATGTGGCTATCATAGGTTTGTCATCAAGGATACTTCGAGAGATAGGTGTTTGAATCCAAAATCTGTGGTGTCATTGAGGTAAATGATCTAGTTCTAAGCGATATTAGCTCTTAAATTCTTGATTGCCAATATGTAATTTTTTGCACCTAAAGAAATGCTATTAATGTCCGAACAAAGTAGTTAGGGGTTTAGCATATATACTCAAAGTAGTATGTGCATATTAATGGCATTCAGTAACAATTGATGAGTCTCATTTAATGTGTAATGTGAAATGTTATGTTATAAATATAGTAATGTATTGTTGTTAAAATGGGAAGTGTAGTTGTTATTTTTGTTTATTTGCTTAAATTTTTCTATGCAATATGTTATAATAGCTGGGGAAGGAAAATCTAGAATTATTGAATTATTTGTTGGTAAAATAGTAATGATATATTATTGACATTATAATTCTAGTTGCAAATTCAAAAATAGAGTATAATTTAGTTGAAATATGGAACTATTGAACTTTGTGTTGTTAAAATAGTAATGATATATTATTGATATTGCAATTACAATTGTGAACTCAAAAATAGAGTAAAATTTATTTGAAATGGTTACAGGGTGACATGATAGATGGCAAGAAATAATAGAAATAAATTATTTTGTTTCTTTCATTATGGGAGAATTTATAGGAGGACAAATGAAGGTAATGTCAAATATGATTGAGAGAATGCAATTACTAAAGTATTAACAGAGAGTATGTGTAACATCTCAAAAAATTTTAAGAATCGAATTTATTTTAAAAAAAATAAAATAAAATAAAATATCTATAATTAAATTAAAATTTAGAATAATTTGATAGAGGTCCAGAGTTTGAATTTTACTAAGCAAAAGTTTGATTTTATTTGATTTTTAACTATGGAAAAAATTACCAAAGTTGACCCGGGCTTTTGTGTAATAATAAAAAAAATGTTGGGCCATTTCTTGTAATTTTTCCCAAAACTTTTAGATCAGCAATTTAAAGACCAAAATTGACACAGAAAACGCAGAAACTGAATTGGAAAGGAAAAGAAAGAAAACGCAAGAGAGGGAGAGAGGAAGAAGAGAAGAGAAAGAGAGGGAGTTAGACTTGGATCCAAGAGTCTTTGCGATCGTTGCAAGTTCAGTTACACGATAGGTAAACTCTCTACTTCAATCCTCTTCTCTTTCTCTTGATTTTCTTCAATTTATGGAAGAGAAAATTTTTGAATTTTGATCCCAAAGGCTTTATTCTTGTAAGCTTTTGTTTCTTTAGATCCTAGGGAGGATATTTTGAATTTCTATATAGTGATTTAATATTTTGAGTGGATAATTGGATGAAAAAAGGTGTTTTGGGCACAAATTAAACCCTGAGAAATTGGGTTTTGCTCTTCAATGGTTTAAGCCTATTGATTTAGTTATAATTTTGCTATTTGAGCCCAATAAGATTTAAATTAAGGTTTGGTTTTCATTATAAGGGCTAATGGTGAAAGTTGTTGACACTAAGTGAAGGTTTTTAATTAATTAAAAATTATATAAATTGGAAATTAGCCTAGTGATGGCTAATAAATGGTTTTGGTGGTTAAGCAATACTATGTGAATGGTTGGTTTAATATATGGACCATTGGGATGGACTATGGCTCATAGACCCAAGTTATGTGGTATGAATTAAAGTCTTCATTAATGTTATTTGACATAATAAGTGATGTGGATCACTTCTATGTTGTAGGAATTGTTGGTGGAATTTGTTCAGAAGTTAAGGAACAAGCGGAGCCCTATTTTGTACAAGGGGAACCCTTTTGGTACCAAAGGGTTGAGGTAACAGGGAAAATTTATATTTCTTATTACTCTATTTTAGCTATTTTTGAATAAATATTACTAGCTATCATGCATTACATATTTTAAAAGATTAAATGTGCTTTATAAGGGGTTATAGGGTACTAATTTAATTATAGTACAAATATGTTTTCTAATTGTTTAACAACAATGTTTTTATGGAAACAAGATTTGTTTACATGTATTTTAATCATAAGGAATAGAAGTTGTACTTAAGGAAGTGTAACTAAGTAAGATATCTTAAATAGGCTAAGGAACCGTTTAAGGGAGATTTATAAATGTTATACTACCTTAGAGTGTTGAAATGGTCAATACTCGGGAAAGGTAGACACGAATAAAAGGCATGATCTCGGTGGGAGTTCACCAATGAGAAGGTGTGTACTTTTGATATTCTATGGCACACTGCCAGTACTCAGTATTGCCTTACGTATTATGGGCTCAGTGTACTAAAGTGGTTAGTGTATTGAGTGTTCGACACCTCTCAGTGGGGGAGGGAATCTGACATATGAAGTGTGAGGTTGAGTGCCTAGGCCAAGGTAGCCCTCACATGGAGAGTAAGTTGAGCTAGCTCTGGGAGGGAGTTAGCTTTGACTGCTCAGGATTCACGTCGAAGGGTCATAGGCAGTTCGGTGGATTAGATCATGCCTTAGATTATGTTTTGTGCATGTGGAGGTACAAGTAGATATAAGATTTACCTGCGAGTTAAAGAGTGTCAGGGGGCATTCTGTTGGTCATGAGAGGCCATACCGGCCTAGGTCATGCATTCATGCATTTTAAATGGCTAAATTATATACTATGTTGAATTTATTATTCGCTTATTTGATTATGGCTTGCTTTGTAATAATCAATGTAGATTTCTCTGTTATTGAGACTGTGGTTGTCTCACCTCTTTCTTTTCAATATTCTAGGTCCAGGCGAAGGATCCAGTGGTGGACGGGAAAGGAGCAAAGCTAGGGGTTTGCTTGTGATTTATAAAGAACTGCAACCCCTTTCTTTTGATCAAATATATTGTAATGTATTTAGGATTAGGGTGCCAGTATGATATGATTATATATGTGTGTGTGAATATGTGTGGATTGTGTGCTTGTGTATGAATTTTTGTTTGTTTGTAGACTTGTGGCTAGGAAACTTGGTTATGATGTGTGGTTTTGATGGATTTACTTAGTAGGCCAAGTTTCTATTACAAGCAGATATTTATTTTGATATATATGTGTGTGTGTGTGTGTGTGTGTGTGATTCTATAAGTAAATGCAAAGTGGTTGCATTGCAAATGGTGTACTATGGGCAAGCATACACCTTGGATAGAGAGAGTGGGTGCGTGGGCCCCACAAGGAGCTCTGAGTCAAATAAAAATGTTTAGCATATGTATTTATATAAATACATGGTATTTGGATTGATTTGTGACCACTCTTGTATTATTTGTGCATTTTGGGGGTTTAAGGTCCATTTTGAGAAATGGCACCCAAGTGGTTAAATTTTAATGTATGGGGGTTTTCCATCATTTGAATGTTCTATTAGGTGTTTTTAGTCTTATTTGACGTGTCCAAAGTGTTCCCACAGGTTTGTGACCATTAGGATGAGATTTGGACAATTTTGAAAATGGTTTTTACCAAAAAGCTGCACTTTTGCATCCGGGGTGTCCAAATCTTAATCCGACCGCTAGATTTCTCTAAAATTTAGGTCACAAGTAAAACCTTTTATAAGCTTCATGTGGGATTTGAAATCATGTCGATCAGATATCGGATGGAGAAACGACGCACTCTAGAATTTGGTTTGGAGGTGCTATCACGACAACATTTCATTGCTGTCATGACAGCTACAGTAGTGATATTGCAACCTACACAAAATTCAATCCATTCATTGGATCTTTTAAAAATTTGGTATGCTAATAGTATTCTTTAAAAGTGACATGTGGGCTTTAGAATCACTCCAATCAGAGGTCAGATGATGAAATGGTGCACTCCGGAAGTTGGTCCGGAAGTGCTATCATGACAGCTTTTGACAGCAAAAGTGACCAAATTTGTAACATGTCAAATTTTTAATCTGACTGTTAGATCTTTTTGAAATTTGATACACTTATAGTACCCTTTGAATGTGACACGTAAGCTTTAAAATTTCTTCAATCGGAGATAGGAAGACAGAACGGTGCTTCTCTGAAGTTGACTCGGGAGGGCTGTCATGACAGTAATTTAATGCTGTCATGACAACATATTTTTACCCTTCTTTCGCCTAACTTGCTTCTGTGCGTTATAGGTAGAACCTATAAATTTTTTTAAAAGGCTTTAAATGTTTACTTTGCAATTGTGTATTTGTTTAATGATTTAAATGGTTTGTTTCCTAAGTTAGTTTTAGGATTAATTCCTTAACCACACTTAACTTATTTGAATTGTGTGATTTTTGGATAACACTCGGGGCAAGTGTTACAGTATGACATAAGATGAACTTAGAACATTGGTATCAGCATAAATGTGGCCTAGAATTAAGGAAATGGACCTCAAGTATATAGTTCATCCACAACTACAATGATATACCTTGTAGATGATGCTAGAGTGGCACAACTTATTGAGTTCAATGGAAACAATGATCATGTTTATGTCAGTGTAAGGGGAAATGACATTAGACAGTCATCCTTACTTGACAATCTTCAAGAGTTAGTAATAAAATTCAGTTTGAAAATCAATTTCTTTGATTAAGCCTCTTCACATTTAATATTATGCCTTAATTGTTTGAATGCGTCATAGGTTATGTCTAAAGAATTTATGAAGCATCCTCTACTTGTGAAACTAAATGGGAATTTGATATGGATTATTTAAGCTCATTATCTCCTTTTCAAACTGCAGCAACACCCTATGTTGAATCAAGTTTAGCTATAAAAAGTATTCCAACCTTGAGATGAATGCAACAAAGTAGAGGGATTTTTTGTGTGGTATAAGACAGACATTTCCTCACACTGTGGCTTTCAGATAAGCATTACACAAATATAGCTTTGCTAACAAGTTTGCGTGCAATTTTGCAAAGAATCATAAGAACAAAATCATTGAGAAGTTTATGGCTAAGGGATGCTTGTAAAAAATTGGAGCATATAAGGCAGTTGGAAAATAAAATCTGTTCTTATGTGTTAGAACTTTCATCAATGAATAGGCACATTCTACAAGTGTTTTTGAAAAACTCATAAGGCTTTCTTATATGTTATGTAAAGTAACTGATCGAGAAAGTAATTACAAATTATTTTAAATAAAATAAATATAATATTTCCAAACTGGGTTGACATCAACACGTTTAGAAAGTGCAAAAAATTAGTTGTTTGACAAAAAGAAAACATACCTCTTAAATTGGTTGTGATTATAACCAGTTTAGTAAATATTTTTAAGATTGATTCCTATAGTGACTAGTCTAGAAAGTGCTAAAGACAAGCTAGTTTATTATGAAAATGCCACTGCCTCTACTTTCTAAACCATCTGCACTTGAATAGGTTTAGAAAGTAGGGTTTAGATAGCTATTTTTCCACTAATGATGATTGGAAGCCTCAAGAAGCTAATGCACAAGGATGCAATTCTAGTTTCAAAAAGGTATATATATGCAACCACTCACAGTCTAGATGCCAAGACAATAAGCAATAGAGAGAAAGCACATGTATCTGGTGGACACAATGTTGAGGAGTGTAAGGATTGCATATGTGACAATAAATTGAGTGAACTATACAAATAGCTAAAGAAGGAGTAATGTATGTGTAACTGCTTGAAAGTTATATCTAAAATACTTGATAGCAGATTCAAAAATGTCCTTGATAATTGTATTTCTCTTTTTTAGAGAGTTTTTGTCTCAAGATGCCGTATCCATGACAACATTATTTTGGTGCGTGAAATCTTTCATTACTTGAAATTGAAAAATTTGGTAATAGGTATGAGTTTGCTTTTATAATAGACATGAATAAAGCTTTTGATAGGCTTGAATGGAATTTGATTGAAGAAGTTTTGAAGAAAATGGGTTTTTGTAATTTATAGATTAGTTGGATTATTAAATGTGTCAAATGTCAAATGTAATTCCATTTTAATATTGATGCCTGGCCCAATGTGCTAGAATGCTTTAGGTAGAGTTGGCTGATGGGCTTTCGAGCACAGTACACAATCTTACCTCCTGTCATATCTCCCTCGCTCCTACCATCTCTCTCTTTCTCTCTCTCTCTCTCTCATTTTTCAAAACTATAACTCTACTATGATTTCATCTTGTGCAACAAGGACAAGGGCCTCTCCTTTTTTTTTCTCTCCTTTTCTCAATCCTCCCCCTTCATCAAATTTGTAATTAAAATAAATTCATTTAATAAAATAAAATTAATGGTGGGAATTGATAAAAGGAGAAAAAAGAAGAGAAGAGAAAGGGGGAGACCCTCCTCCTTGTACAACAAGTATGTTTACTTGAATAGCTCTATTACTTGCTTTTTATTTTTATTCTTAATTCTTAGGTATATTGTTTGATCGTTAATTGTTATTGTTGTTATTGTTGTTATTTGTTAGAAAAAAAATATTATAATTATTTAATAGGCATTATTATTTTCTTTAAATTTAGTCATATGGGTAATATTGGAAGAAAAAGTTTTAATCCATTCTGTTCCGTCCATTTTATGATAACTCTCAAATAATGATCATGTAAAACCTTTCATTCCCAACATAAAACTTTCAAACAATGAAAAATTTTGTTTTATATCGCCTTGCTTTTCTCCATTCTGTTCCATTCTATTAATGATCATTTTTTTTTCATTCAATCTTAAACTCCCAAACGCACTATAAAGATTCTAAAGCTTCTTGGGCTTAGAGCAGTATCTTATTGGATCATGACTTTCTTTTGAAAGACTCATGTTGGAAAGTTGGTGATAGATCAAGCATTAAAATGTGGAGGGGTCCTTCGGTTCTAGGTATGCCCAAATTTATGGCCGATAAACTTAGTGATGCTACTACCAATAATGATCTTTTAATTGCTAATTTAATCAATGATGGGGAATGGGATTTGTGTACTATTAAATCTGCTATGTACTAATGAGTCTATTGCTAATATTGAAAAAATTCATATTCCTATTAATCATATCTCTAACTCCATTGCATGGTTTGGTGCTAAGAATGGTACATACATTTCCTTCTAAGATTGGTTGTCGATTGAATTATTCTAGAATCCGCCCTTGATACAAATGGTCCAAGTTCTTTACTAATTCTGCCTATTTCTTTTGGAAAGAAATTTGGAAGCTGAACATATTGGAGGGCTTTAAATAGATCCATAGCAACTAAGGATGCTCGTTTCAATAGAAAATGCTCACTTAATGTTACACCATCAAAATTATTACAATAGAAAATGCTCACTTAATGTTACACCATCAAAATTATTACAATAGAAAATGCTCACTTAATGTTACACCATCAAAATTCTTACAATAGAAAATGTTCACTTAATGTAACACCAAAATTCTTCCTAATTAATTAGCTTAACCATGGCAAATATGAGTCTATCATGGTAAACAGAAGTCAACCAATTTTTTCTTTAAAAACAATTCTTTAATTTGAAAGTACTATCATGGTAGAAAAGTGTAAAACATAATTTTACAGAGATAATTTACCTTTTTAAAAAATAACTACCATAGTAAAATAAATGAAAAAAATGAAACCATTTTTTTCATTTATTTTATTTAAAAAACTACCATGATGAAAGGGTTCTAGCTTATTAAACAATCATTTTCAAAAATATGAGATCCCAAACATTTATAAACAAAAAAAAGTGTGAAAGGCTTATACAATCTCACATAAGTTAAAACCATAACAAAGAAAAAAAATAAGAATTTAAAAGCCGTTATGTATTTCAAAAAATTTTGACCAATTTCAAAAACATTCCAAATAACATATAACCATTTTTTCTGCTATTTAAATACAAAATAAACTATAATTGAATTACAACCATTCAATATAATTTATATGAAGGAAACTTAATACAATATCATCTAACATTTGGTTTTAGTCTATACAATACAATATCTTAATAAAATTATCATCATATGTGCCACTTAGGCTAAAATATCATTTTTTTTTCACCCTTATAATCTCTGCAAATGCAAAGCAAAGCAAAAAATTCACAAATAAATCAAATGATCAATTCGAAACAAGCCAAAACACATGACCGAGCCATCATGC